CACCGTCCCTTCGTCGTTCCACCACTCAACCTCGCTTCGTCTTCGCCATGCTCGACGAGGCTATTCACTACGTCAAGTTCTTGAAGAACCAGTTCCAATCTCTAACAATATAAATTAATACAGCGGAGTTTAGTGGACAATGATCAGACATTTCAGCCATATAGACAACAAGCAGAAGAGTTTATGTGCAGAATATTGCCTAACTCCCCTTACTCTACTAAATACACACCAGGTAATATATTAATGTTGATTGTTGATTGTTGATTATGTTCTCTAAACATTACAAAATGCATCCATTTAATTTCTTCTGTGTTAAATATGTATATCTACTCTGTACTACTTAGAAGTTAGAATATGGAAGTGGGGTGGTGATGGTATGGTGTGGCGACGACGTGGTGACGATGAAGAGCAGATCTAGGGTTTTTTGGTGGATTGTGGCGGAAGACGGCGCAGAAAAAGAAATTCGCGCAGGCAGGGCCCTTAATCGACTATGTTCAATAGTCGATTAGGCTTAATCGACTATGTTCAGTAGTCGATTAAGGTTAACCGACTCCAGTTGTTAATTTTTCTTTTTCTTTTTGATTTTTTGTTTATTGATTCCAATGTATAAATCAATTACAATGTTTGTATATATTTTTTTAAATATAGTTGATTTTGCATTTTTTTGTAATTGTGATTTGTTATTTTTAATAGCTAAAATTTTAATCGACTATGCATTAATAAACCTGATAGAGAAAAAAATTAAAAAAACCAAAAAACATTTAAAAACAAAATTAGAAACAAAAAAAAATTAAAAAATTAAAGATTTTCCTTAATCGACTATGAAGCATAGTCGATTTAAGACTAATCGACTATGCTTCATAGTCGATTAAAAAAACGGAAAAAAAAAAAATCGCGGAGCGCTGGCCCAGTGATGAGGTGGCGGGCGGGGGTAAAGTTGGAAAACATAATGGCTGAAAATGGGTGTGGACTTTTCTCAAATGGACTAAAATATTTTGGGCCTCCCTCAATTAAAAAAAGTAGTGAGGGGGTTTTCTCAAAGAGCCCATATATATATATATATATATATATATATATATATATATATATATATATATTATAGAGATTATTAGCAAGACTCCCTCATCTAGTAAATATAGTCAAAGAAAACCCTTCTCCCAAAAATAATTAGAGAACTCAAAAATAATTAGAGAAAACCCCTTAGTTAGTATTCCACCAAATCTTATTTTCATAATTCCAAAACTACTCTTAATTGTCTTTATACTCTTTCAAAATCCTAATCTTATTTTCAATTTTTCATCCACGGCTTCACATTCCAGCTTTTCTCTTATTCTCTCTTTGCTCTTCTTTTGTTTTCTCGTCTTCTTTGTTTTTTTTTTCTCTCTTTTTTCTCCGGAAGCTTTTCTCTTATTCTCTATTTTCTCCTCTTATGTTTTCTCGTCTTCTTTGTTTTTTCTTTTCCCCTCTGTTTTCTCCGGCAATCTTCTCCGCCGCCGCCACCGGAAGATGGAGAAAGAAAAAAGAGAAAGCACCCATCAAACATTATACATGATTTTGATAGCGATTCTGAATTCGAATGTCAGGATTGGTACATCGACGGCGAAAAGAGGTAAGATTGTCGATTTGTCGCCGGAATCGAATTTTGATGGGTGGTGGTTTTGCTTTGGTTGGTGGTGCAAGTTGTGATTTTATTTATTTATTTGTAATAAAAAACCGTCATGATGTCAAAGTAAGGTGGTGATGGTGTATTGTGCGGCGGTGTGGTGACGATAGGGAGACATATTTAGGGTTTTTTGGTGGATGAGACGGAGGACGGCGCCTGTAGAGAATTTCGCGCAGGCTGAAACCTTAATCGACTATGTACATGTTCATAGTCGATTAAGCTAATCGACTATGCTCTGGCAGTCGATTAAGGTTGATCGACTCCAATTTTTTTATTTTTTTTGAATTTTTTGTTTACTGATTCCAATTGTATAAATTATTTATAATGTTTATATACTGTTTGTTTTTGTAATATGTAGTTGATTTTGCATTTTTTTCGCAGTTGTGATTTATTATTTTTAATAGCAGATTCTTAATCGACTATGCTTCACATCATAGTCGATTAATATGCTTCATTGACTCTGTTGTAAATTGCCCTAATGGTATTGCTCTTCGGTTTGATGA